CCCTCCCCTCACACCCACAGGCCCGCCCTCGGGCCCCGCCCCTCACGCCCCACGCCCGCCCTGGGGCCCCGCCCCTCACGCGCCACATGCCCACCCTCGGGCCCCTCCCCTCACACCTACAGGCCCGCCCTTGGGCCCCGCCCCTTACGTCCCATCGCCCGCCCTCGGGCCCCGCCCCTCACGTCCCACCCCCCCCCCCGGGCCCCCCCCCCCCCCCCCCCAGGCCCGCCCTCGGGCCCCGCCCCTCATGCCCCGCCCCCAAGCCGACTGGCCCCCAACGTCTTGCCAGGAGGCCTTGGGCTAATGAGAGTACTTGGGGCCAGGGACCCCACTGGGGCCGGACATCTTTTCGCCCTGGCCTAGAGCTCTCTGTGCAGTTTGGGAAAAACACCCATACCCAGGAAACGATCCTAATGCCACTGAGAGGGCGCCTGGAATGTGAGCGCCACCGGCTGGGATGGGAAGTGTGGGTATCCCCCCATCTGGGCACCCAGGAAGGAGAGCTAAGCAGATCCCCAGCACAATTAGTGCCTGAGGAATATCTTAGTTTATAGTGTTACTACTCGGTTATTTCCTTTATATCATCCTTTATACATAATCACATAGTAGTTTATAGTCAGAACAATTAGTGCCTGAAGAATATCTTACTACTCAGTTACTTCCCTATATTTAAAATCACATCTTGTTTACAGTCGGAGGAATGTCTAGAGCAGACACGGCATGGAGCATGAATTATGGGAAAAACAGTTACAACAGGACAAGAATTTGTAGCCCAGGCGGTAGTGCCCCTGCCTGAAAGGGCACGTGCTACGTGACAGGCTGGCCCAGGTGACAGCGCTCAGTATCTTAAAGACACCCGCTGTATGGCAGGCATGGTGCAAGAGTCACTCCTCCTGAAAGGGAGTTGCAGTACCTTGCATCAGTTCTTGTGGAAGCTGGCCTCAGGTTGGCAAGCACTCGAGCGTCCGAGTGCTTAAAGCCCCTACGGTACAATCGCGCCTTGGTGGCTGTGAACCCTGTCAGCCCTGTTGCTATGTACTGACTCAAAGCATCTTCCTATAGAAATCACTGGAAGCTGCCAGCAGGTGGCTGTATTCCCTGTCAGCCCTGTTGCTACGTGCTGACTCAAAGCATCCTCCTATAGAAATCACTGGAAGCAGCCGGGCGCAGTGGCTCACGCCTGTAATCCTGGCACTTTGGGAGGCTGAGGCGGGCGGATCACCTGAGGTCAGGAGTTCAAGACCAGCCTGACCAATATGGTGAAACACCATCTTTAAAAAAAAAAGGAAAGAAAGAAATCATTGGAAGCTGCCAGCAGGTGGCTGTATTCCGTCAGCTCTTCAGCTACTGTGCTGACTCAAAGCATCCACCTATAGAATTCCTTAGAAGTAGCCTGCCCCTAGATACGAGATATCGCACATTGCACCCTCTTCACTGCGCACAGCCCACCTCCTTGCCTCGGTGACCTAATGGGGGTGGACCCTTTGCTTACCGCATACGTGATTGTCTTGACCCTATGACTGTTCTTAAGATGACCTCACTCACTACTGTGGGTAACCCCCCATCTGGGCACCAAGGAAGCAGAGCTAAGCAGATCCCCGGCACAATTAGTGCCTGAAGAAAATCCTACTCCTCAGTTATTTCTCTACATATACATATGTATATATAATTGTATCTTAGTTCATAGTCAGAGGCATGCCTAGAGCAGACACAGTGCAGAGCATGAATTAAGCAATAAACAGCTATACATATATAATCATATCTTGCTTATAGTCAGAGGCATGTCTAGAGCAGACACGGTGCAGAGCATGAGTTAAGGGAAAAACAGTTACACCAGGACAAGAACCTGGCCCAGGTGGCAGCGTTCAGTATCGTAAAGATACCCGCTGTGTGGCAGGCTTGGAGCAAGAGCCTCTCCCCCTGATAAAGGAGTTGTAGGACCTTGCTCCGGTTCTTGTGGAAGGCTCCCTCAGACCGGCAATCCCATGAGCCTCTGAGGACTTAAAACCCCTCCGGTATAATCGAGCCTTGGTGACTTTGGTAACTTGTCAGCTCTCTAGCAACTGAGCTGCTCAGAGCAACCTCCTATACATACCATTGCAAGCTGCCAGCAGGTGGCTCCAGACCTGGTCAGCTCTGCTGCTAGGCTGACTTAAGAGCATCCTCCTACAGAATTACTTAGAAGTAGCCTGCCCCTAGACAAGAGATATTGTGCACTGCACTCTTCACTGTGCATGGCCCACCTCCTAGCCTAGGTGACCTAATGGGGGTGGACCGCTTGTCTATTGCCCACGTGATTGTCTTGACCCTATGAGTTGTCTTTAAGATGACCTCACTCACGACCCTTCCCACTATCTGGTACTCAATAAATACAGACGATCCTGGATGTTCGGGGCCTTGCTTGTCTCCACTGGTAAACGGTGTGGCCCCCCGAGCTCAGCTGCTCTTTTCCAGTCCTTCGGTGTCTTGTCTCTTTATTTCTCAGATCCTTCACCTCAGCACAGTGATAGGTGACACTCCACGACCCTGTACGGCTTGACCCTGCAGGAAGAGGTCTGGGAGGAGACCTGAAGGATGGCTCACTGGGAACGAGGCCTATGCAGTGATTGCTGGAAAGATGGCGTGGACGGGAGCTGGCTGCCCTACCCACCCAGGCAACCTCCAACTGGACGGGCCAGGGCCTGGGGCAGGGGGTGGACCAAGGGGTGGGCAGAGGGCAGCAGCCAGGCCTGGGGAGGCCCAACAGCACGCCCCCTGAGGCCAGTGCATCCTGGCACTGCCCAGCCTGTGTCCCAGGCCCACTGGGGGCTCCATGCCATAGCCAGGAGCTCAGGGGAAGCTCACATCACAGTCAGGCCCCATCCCTGCTGGGCGTGGCTGTGCAGGAGCCCTGCAAATATATTTATACATTTAGTATGTGAACTCTATTTCAATAAAGCTGATACAAGATACACTTCACATACCATGCAGTTCACCCATTCAACTCATTCAGAGTGTACAGTTCAGTGGTTTTTTAGTACCTTCAAGATAGAGCCGAGGTCAATTTTAGAGCATTTTCATTGCTCCAGAAGAAACCTGCTGCCCTTCAGCAGTCGTCCCTTACTACGCCTTCCCCAGTCCCTGGTAGAAACTAATTCCTGTCTTCATAGATTTGCACTTTCTGGACATTTCATATAAATGGATCACATAATGCCTAGTCTCCTGTGACTGGCTTCTTTTACCTAGAATAATACTTTTTCTTTTTTTTTTTTTTTTGAGACGGAGTCTCGCTCTGCAGCCCAGGCTGGAGCGCAGTGGCGCGATCTCAGCTCACTGCAACCTCCGCTTCCAGGGTGCAATGATTCTCCTACCTCAGCCTCCGGAGTAGCTGGGATTACAGCCGTCCACCACGCCTGGCTAGTTTTTGTATCTTTATTAAAGATGAGGTTTCGACATGTTGCCCTGTCTGGTCTCCAACTGCTGACCTCAGGTGATCTGCTGCCTGGGCCTCCCCGAGTGCTGTGATTACAGGCGTGAGCCAGCGCACCCAGCCTGCTTCCCGCAATGTTTTCAGGGTCCAGCCGTGCTGCAGCGTGCACGTGCTTCGCTCCTCTATGGCCGCTGTTATCAGGATGCTGCGGCTATGAGCGTCCATGTGTAAGTCTGGCGTGGACACGTGTTTCCATGTTTGAGGAGCTGCCATCTTGCTTTTCAAAGTGGCTCAGGAGCTAACTTTTTTGTGGGGTACCGTGTCAACAATTTGAGTCAACCAAAACCAGCGTGTCCGCGCCATCCTTGGCGCCCAATTTCACGAGATCCCGCGAAAAAACTGACCCAGATCGGGCAGGACGCGGTGGCTCACGCCTGTAATCCCAGCACTTTGGAAGGCGGGCGGCTCACCTGAGGTCAGGAGTTCAAGACTAGCCTGGCCAACATGGGGAAACCCCGTCTCTACTAAAAAAAAAAAATACAAAAATTAGCCAGGCGTGGAGGCAGGCGTCTGTAATCCCAGCCGCTCGGGAGGCTGAGGCAGGAGAATCGCCTGAACCCGCGAGGCGGAGGTTGCAGTGAGCCGAGATCGCGCCATTACACTCCAGCCCAGGCGACAGAGCCAGGCTCCATCGCAAAAAAAAGGAAAAAAAAAAAAAAGACCTAGATCGCACCGGGGTGAAGGGTCGGGACGCGCCCAAAGGGAGAACCGGGCTGGGCTCCAGGATCCGTCGGCGAGGAAGGGGCGAAGGGGTGGAGGGCCTCGGGCCAGGCCGCTGGGGGTGTCTGTGGTTGCCTCCGAGGTCCGGCGGCCTTGGCGAGACCCCCGCCACCCGCCGCTCGGTCCCCGCGGCCTCGGTCGCCCGGCGGGCCAGCTCCGGTTACCTGGCAACCAGGTGGCATCCTTCCCGGCAAGCCCCGCGCCTTACCCGCGACGTCGGACCACAAGGCCCAGCGTGCCCCGCGCGGACTACAAGCCCCACAATGCACCGCACACCCTTTTCTCGCCGGCCCCGCGCGGCTCTCCGGAGACCCCGCGGGCTAGCGCCGCGACCCCTTCCCGGCGCTCCCCGCGCGGTGCGTGGCGCGTTCCCTCGCCGGTGACCCGGTGTGCGTGAGGTCGAGGCGCCGGGCGGAGCGGCTCCGGGCCGAAACGCCATGCGGAGGGGCGAGCGCAGGGACGCCGGGGGTCCGCGGCCCGGGTCCCCGGTGCCCGCGGGCAAGGCCTCGCTGGAGGAGCCGCCTGACGGGCCGTCGGCCGGCCGAGACACCGGGCCGGGCGCGGGCCGCCGCAGCACCGAGTCCGAGGTGTACGACGACGGCACCAACACCTTCTTCTGGTGAGGAACGGGGGGCGGCGCGGGGCGGCGCCCTCGGCCCGGGGGTCCCGGCGGCGCCCTTCCGCCGCCTTGGGGTCCGGGGCTGCGGCCGGGCTTCGAGGGTGTGCAGCGCCGGCTCCCGGGCAGCGGCCGGACCGAGCTCCCGAGGCCGGGCGTGGCGGGGCCGGGGGGCGCTGCGGGCGCGGGAGGCGCTGGCCGGACCTCCCCGGGGCTGCCTGGCGCCCCTCTCGCCGCCGCCCGCCTCCGCGCCGCCCCAGAAACGCTTTCTCTGGTCTCCGTCCACGCCTGACCCGTGTCCCGTCGTTCCGCCTGTGGCTGCGCGACATCATCTCGTGCGTGTGTCGCCCCGACCCCCGCGCGGCGGCCGCGTTGGTGACAGTGTCGCGCGTGCTGCGGCGTTGGGGGAACCCGGGCTCTGCGCCTCTCCCAGCGGCCCCCAGCGGGGCCACGCGTCCTCCCTGCGCCGCTCAGCCCCCGCCGAGCCTGGGGTCCCGCGTCCGCCGCGCTGCGTTTCCCGGGCTGGAGGCGGAGGAGGTCCCGGGAGCCGCTGGAGGGTGGCGCTCGGTCCAGGCAGGCTCCGGGCGCGCCCCCGCCCCCGCCCCCGCCGCGACCCCCGGCTGGCCCTTGGCTCGGCTGCGAGGCCTGCGAGCCGCTTCTCCTCGCCGCACGGTGCACGGTTCGCGTCCTGGGAAGGCCCTGGGCGCAGGTGCAGTAAAAGTGGTCTCAGCCTGAGGAGAGCGTGTGGGAGACACAGACGCCCGCGGCCGGCGGTGGAAGGGAGGCGGCGGCGCGGACGCTTCCAAGAGAACCGCGGGATGGTGGGAGAACAAGGCCGAGGGGTGAGGAGGGGGCGTGTCAGGGGAAGGCGCCGCGGGACAGACTTCACAGGCCCAGCCTGTCCCCAGCAGCTGACGCTCGAGAGAGTCCTTCCGAGTGGTGGGAAAGCGGATTGGGGTGGAGGAGGCAGCCCTGCGTCCGGACCCACGCAGGGTCTTCCGTGGGCCGTGGGCAGCCGCCGTTGCGGGGAGGGTGTCCAAGCTCTGCTTTGGTTGCCTGTGGAGCCGTCGAGAGGCAGAGGAGGTGGGGTACATGCTGCGTGGACCCTCTGGCCTCGGCCGCATGGACATCGGGCCTCCCCGTCAGAGGCCCCGCGACGCCCCTTCAGGCGGAAGGGGTAGCACAGTCCTCCCGCAGCACGGCCAGGGACCACCGGCATCTCCGAGGTCCTGTAGTGAGGAGGCTGCACTGGCCCTTCTTGTTTCTCATTTGGCCATTCAGCACATTTTGGAGACCCTGCTGCATGTCAGTTAGCGTTCTAAGGAATAAGAACTAAACAAGAAGTTTACAGTCTGGCACAGGCATGGAACTTCGGAAGGCACAGAATGTTCTGGCTGGAGAGGGGCTGAGTGTGGGAGAAGCCAGGGAGCGCACGCAGCCCACCCAGGACCAGGGAGCGCACGCAGCCCACCCAGGACCAGGGAGCGC